GAAGCTTTCCCCGGAAAGCACTTGTCATTGGGATCTCTTCTGCAGTGGCTGCCCGCTTATCCAGTGTACCAAAACCATTCTCACCCCATTCCCCTGAGAGCTGAGGTTGCAAGGCAGTCCTCTTACTACCAAACAGTGAAAGCGCTGCTCTTCCCCAGTGTCTTAGTCTCAGCCTTTGGCGCTGGTCATGAGTAAATCGCTTGTCCAAGTTCTCCCAGCCCAAGCCTTGCTCTGCAACCCTGAGGGCGGAGCCTGCAGGGGCACTTCTCCCATAATAGCTGTGCATGCAGCCCACAGCCAAACATTAGCTCCGTTCCAGCTCAGCAGCTCAGTCCTGGGCCCTAGACAAGGCTTAAAGTCATCTGCACTCTTGCCCAAGTTCTCCCAAGGTAGTTCAACTGAGTGCCAAAGTCCAAAAAAGCACAACAACCCACAAGGACGGCCTTCCCTGTTTGTAGTCTTGCTGCTGTTGCAGTTATAGCTGTGGCAGCCATGGCCTCAGACCAAAAGAATGCAACCACTTGCCACTTCTCAACTGCTTTTGTCCTTCTCTTGGGGTCCAGAAGTCTCTTGCAATCTCCCTGCATCCTCTAAGGGATGTTTCTGTGTAGAGCTCATAAGCCAGAGATGCCTGGAGTCTTCTCTCCCCAATCTCACTGCACCTGGTTGCAAAGTAGCTGTTACTCGGTCACCATCTTGCTCCCTCTCTAAGATGTTTTTAAATAGACTATTACACCAGTTTTAGGTTTAGAGAAATATGAAAGTATAGGGAGCCCCCCTTGTCTGTATTATTATTTTGCATTAGCATGATACATTATGAGTCAGTATTGATAGATGTATTGTATTGAATGATTATTTATATTATTATAAGATAAAATTCGTAGTTGACATTCACTTACAGTTCCATACAGAATAGTTTTTTTGCTTTGAAGATTCCTGTGTTCCACCCATTCATCAGCACTCGCTCAACTTCTGACAGTCACTGATCTTTTTACTATCTGCATAGTTTTGCCTTTTTGAGAATGTCCTGTATTTGGAATTATGTAGTATATCTTTTTTTTTTTTTAATGGGGGGAAAGGTTTTTTTTCTTTTAGAGACAGATTCTTACTTTATTGCTGTTGGTAGAGTGCTATGGCATCACAGCTCACAGCAACCTCCAACTCCTGAGCTTAGGCGATTCTTTTGCCTCAGCCTCCCAAGTAGTTGGGACTATAGGCGCCCACCACTGGCTATTTTTTTGTTGCAGTTTGGCCAGGCCGGGTTTGAACCTGCCACCCTCGGTATATGGGGCCGGCACCCTACTCACTGAGCCACAGGCACCGCCCAGTGTATATCCTTTTTAATTGGCTTCTTTCAGTTAGCAGTATTCATTTAAGGTTCCTCCATGTTTTTTTTTCTTTTTTATGGCTTACCAGTGCATTTCTTTTTATTGCTGAATAATGATCCATTATATGACATACCACAATTTGTTTATCCATTACTCATTTATTTCATTTATTTTCTTAAGCATCAGTGTGGTGAAATACCATTTACTCATTGAAAGGCATCTTTGTTGCTTCCAAGTTTGGCAATTATGAATAAAGCTCCTGGACACCAGAGATCCTCCTGCCTGGGCTTTTTAAAGTGCTGGGATTATAGGCAGGAGCCACCAGACTGAATTAATTTATCTGTCTTTAACTTTTTTTGGTGCACTTTTTTTTGGAGACAGAGTCTCACTATATCGCCCTCAGTAGAGTGCTGTGGCGTCACAGCTCACAGCAACCGCAAACTCCTGGGTTCACGTTATCCTCCTGCTTCAGCCTTCTGAGAAGCTGGGACTACATGTGTCTGCCACAATGCCTAGCTAAATTTTCTATTTTTTTATTTTTTGCAGTTTTTGGCTGGGGCTGGGTTTGAACCTACCACCTCCGGCATATGGGGCTGGCGCCCTACTCCTTGAGCCACGGGCGCTGCCCAATTTTCTATTTTTTTA